GCGCACTCGTACACACACATACACACCAATCCTCACTGATCCCCCTGACCCCCTCATACATACACTCACGCACGCACACACAGATACACACACAGACACACACACACTCACACACACACACACAAACACACACACACACACACAAACACACACAAGCGTGTGTGCGCAAGCACACGCGCGCACATTCGCACACACTCTTCTCGAATGTCTTATCGATGTAGTGACAGCTTGCTAATCTTGGCTGCTGTTTCAGCAGTAACACAAACAGGAGATTTCAATGTACATTTAAGCTCGTTCTTCCAAGAATCAATCAAAGCCAAGTGAGCTCTGTGGGATAGGAAATCTTAAAGCGACAGCTGGGAGTTATCTTTCTGATCTAGATCTAGACCTATGGCTCGCTATTTCACTCCCACACAGAGGGCGCGCTCACTCTTGCGCGCACCTCTACAAGAACCACATATATTTACACTCACACAATACACACTTGCAGTTGATGGCTGGCCGGTGCTGTGGTGGTGTTGTTCCTTCTTTCCTATCAAACATCTATTGTCCCTATTTTCTCTTCCTTCTTTTTTTCGTCGTTGTTACCTTCCTTTTTCGCCTTTGTTAGTCTCTTGTAATAATTCTAGTCTCCGGCACTTATATGATATGACCTTATAAGTTATTGTGTTGTAAGTGCCGTAAAACTCTTGCTAAACCTAAAATAGTCTGTCATGTCTGTCTGTCTGTCTGTCTGTGCCATCTTCGCGTCTTTTTGGCCCTTTCTCTCCCCCTGACTTCTGCTCTTTCTTCTCTCTGTGTCTGTCTCTCTTACTCTCTTTTGCCCTCTCTCTCACTCTCCTTTGCTCTCTCTTTCTTTCTCCCTAAATATATATATATAATTTATGTTTCTCTCTTTCTTTCATTCTCTCTGCCCCTCTCCCTCTCTCTTTCGCTGTCTCTCTCTCATCCCCTTCGCCATCTCTCCTATCTCTGTCCCTCTATTTTGCTATCCAATTTTCTCTCTCTCTCCTCCCCCCATCTCTCTCTCTCTCCTCCCCCCATCTCTCTCTCTCTCTCTCACACACACACACACACGCGCACACACACACGCACACACACACACACACACTCACAAGCACACACAGACACACCATACACAAAGGCATATATTGTTATCTGAAAAAGAGTGATCACCAGATTTAGTGAAAGAAAATTTGGACATTCTGTTTGCTCGTGGCCCGTAGGTCTGTTGTTCCCCTAAGATCAATGTTAATTTGAATACCCTCTTGTACAGGGGAAATATGTTTGCTGGGCTGCAACATATGTGGTATTTGGCTGTTACTTGTAGCATTGGTTTTATTTATGAGCCAAATTTCTTTCATTGCATGCAATTTTGCCATTGGTTTCATCACAAAATGTATGGGGGGAAAACCCCCCGAAAGAAGTAGAAATTTGACCAATCAAGATTTAGTTATGTTCTGCGACTAGAGGATGCAATAATCTTAACGAGTTACGTCAGGCCAAAAACAATTTTTTTGCTGTGAATAAGAAATTGTGCTGAAATTACCATTTAAAAAAAAGATTTCACCTAAATATTTCCACTGTTCAGTTCTTTAAGTCATTAACTGCGATTTAATATAATGATGTTTGATCCTTCTACCTCATCCCTTTGTGATTGTAGGTTTTTTTTAAAATGATGTCTATTTAAAAAAAAAAAAAATTTTTGTCATGCACTTTGCGATTATTTCTGTGTACATTTTTGTTCCATTTTGATGAAAACATTACACATGTATGTATTTATCTTTACGACCGGCAGAGAAATGACACTTCTGCTGGGAAGATTAACACTGTTTCATTTTGAAATTCATGTTTTGCTCATACTAAAAACAGTCTTTGGAGTGCACCTTCATCTTTAACTCTTTCACTACTGGGGGGTTTTTCCTCACCTGAACCGGGCCCTATCTCGGTGTCTGTGACCTACTTTCTGATTGGGTCTACCAAGATTTTGAGTTCAATTTTCAACATTAACCACATGTCATGTATTATATATGAAAATAAAGGGGAAATAATGACCTCTCTCAGCATGTTGCTAAAGACGATCATTCTTCAGCCAGAGATTTCAGATTCAATTGTTACAAAAGTAGGTGCGGTTTTGAGGCAGGAACTGGCGAGCTATGAAACACGGCTCATGGTAGTGAAAGAGTTCAGAACACCATATTTTAAAGTAAATTGTGTCCAGTGTAACTTTATATAAAATTCAGTGGGCTTTCCTGCTCACCAATTTCAAAGTGCCTTTCTTTTCTTTTTCTGTTTTTCGGAATCTATAATATCCTGTGTTGTGACTATTTATAAAGTACACTTCTGTTTACTTCACACAAACAGGCAGAACTTGTAACACCTCTAATCTCGGAACTTATATCACTACATTGCGTTGCAAGTGCCAAAAATCACTTACTCAAACTTAAAAGAGGCAGATTTAGCAGAGTTTCTTTTTTCTTTCTCTCTCATTTCAGTGAAATCTCGAGTACTGATGTCTGTGGACGGGGAGGACTATTGTGACGACTTCCGCTCCATGCCATGGCAAGGCGCCATGTCCTGCCCAATGCCTGACACCACTGAGAAGAAAGTATTGGAGAGAAGTGTCCCAGGCATTGACCTGCTGGGTGCGGGCGAGATCACGATGGAAGTTGGCAAGACGACACCTGACACAACCGTGGTCATGGTGGTGACTGCGGGAAACGGAGGGAGCGGAGGGATGGAGAACACCAGCGACAGCGACGGGGCCTTCCACCAGCACACGACATCTGTGATGCCCGACGTCACCGTCTCGGCCAAAGAGATGCTCGCCAGCCCCACTTTGAGACACAACATGTCTGCCGATGCAGAGACGGTAGCTTGAGAACACAGGCCGTCTCGACTTGCCTGCCGCAGGAGGTTGCAGAACTTTATAGTGTTGCTAACGGTTAGCGCCTCTTGACTGATATGAGTCATAGTTACTAACAGTTATTTGCTCGAGACCGATATTAAATTGACGATTCTTACTTGCAGGTTATCTAATTCTACCAAGGCTAAACCTGAGAAAATTGTTTTGAGGAAAGGGAGCTGACATTTAAAGTAGGGGAGGGTAAAGACGTTCACAGTTTGTTTGATGGTACTGTTGTTGCTCTTTGTTGAAAGAACAGATTTGAGCACTTCCATTTTGAGCATTTTTTCACTTTTGTGACTGTGAAATTCTTTGAAATTCAATCTCAGGGTATTGCATGTTTACATGCTGCTCTGACCATGTGTTATTGATGGTGACCAAATTTTTCTGAGTCTGTGAACTGTACAAAATAAGTGCACGTTCAGTCATGAACTGCTACGGTAAAAGCATACAGTAGATGTATGGGGCCAATATTAAGGTGGCTATGTAAATGGCTTTTTTGAATTCCCGTAATTACTTTTGTTTGCCTGTAGGGCAGTGACCTTTTGTGCAACATTCAATTGAAATATTGAATAACCTTCTTTTATTGACAACGTCGTTTTTAAAGTACAAGTTGCTTCCTTGTACAAATAACGTTTTTTTAAGTTCTAAAATCTTCATCCAGTCATGACTGTTTTATCCTTTTTTTATTTTTATTTTTAAAGTTTATTGCAGTTAAGTTTAAAAAAAACTAGAAGCTTTTGTCGTTTTCAGGTTTTGCAGACTTTTTTTTAACATCATTGAAAAACTATCTCTATTGACTGTTACTGGGATGTTACATCACTAACTCTACAGCCTTATTTAAAAACAAAACATTTTTTAACAAAGGCAGAAATGTTTTTCAAAGGAAGATGTTAGCCTTATCGTACATTTTCCCCCCCCTTTCTTTCTTTCTTTTGTAAATTCAAAAGTGATCTGAATTTTGTGATGAGGTACATCTCTGAATTACTTCCGTCACTTGATTTGTAAGCAGTGTCTCTGATCTTCTATTCGGCTTGAGGAAGGTTTAGACATAGCTCTTTTCTTCTGCAGAAGTAGGTTCCGCAGTGTTTTGAGTCTATTAGCACAATGGACAAGTTAAATAAGAGCGCTTTAGGGGCTAGGTAGAGCATATTAATAAATGGTAATGCTATCCAAATGAGGCACTTGTTGTTGGGTGTCCTCTGTGTTGTTGACTGATGAGGTTCAAGCAATAGAGTGAATGTTAGTACATAGAGGGGTGTGTATGAGAATGAGTGAATTGAGGAGAGTCTCTGCACAGACAAAGAGGGAAGAAAGAGACTGAGAAAGAATGGTTGGAAGTGAGAAGGTAGGAATGAACAGTGCAAATGGGAGGGAGAAAGTAGAGTGCAGGGAGAATCAAAGTATGCCGTTCATTACTACAGAGTGAGAAAAGATAACTGCCATAAATTTTGTTTTCGTTTTATGAGCTTCATGATAAACCATTGTCACTGGTCAGTCATTTCATGCTCACATTGACCATAGGGTTCATTTTTGGTTTTTTTTCATCCCTTTAAAAAAAAATGGGCATTATTTTGATGGTTTCAGTAAATAGAAGCACTCAGCAGAAGCCATAATACGGCTGGTTTTTGTTAGTTTTTTTAAAAATGTTTGTCTCTTACTCAGTTGTGTTCAGTTGAAATGTCCTGTTGTCAGGGTAAAAACAGGAAATGATAAATATGAAGCTTTTCACAATCACATATCATTTCAAGTTGCTCATAAAGGTTCTGTGTGGTTATTGTAATAGTGCTTCCATGTTCGGTGGCCCCGACAGAGAGATCAAGACATAATTGAAGCTGGTTTTTCCAAGAAGGGGATTTACCTTGTAGGCTAATGATGGGTTGTTGTTTTTTCAGTGCAAAGTTGAGTTGCGTCTAACCCTTTCACAATGGGGATAGGGTTTTAGAGTGTAGTCGAAATATAAAAATATCAAGGCCTTTTCATCTGGCAGTGACAGCGTTATGTCTTTTCAGTAAGAGTTATTACATTTTTTTGCCGTCCACTTTTTATTTAAATTATTTATGAGTAATTTCATGGCTGTTTGTCCTCTTGTTCTTTCATTTAGACTGGAGAGTAACTTGATTTGTATGAGAAGATTCATAACTGTCCTGGTTCGTTTTGTGGCTGATTAGTCCACGATTCTTTAATTGAGCTATGTAGATGACTGTATACATGATTATGATGACTTTGTCTTTTTGTTCTGCTTCTACCTTGTTATGCTATAATGACTTCTCAATAGAGAGTAGAGAAATGTGAAGTAAATAGTGTGCACAAAGAAGTGTACTCTTAAAAATAGAAATACAAATTCCAAAAATATTTTGTTGATCAAGTTTTGGACGCTCCAGTTTTTCAGTTCCTTGTGTGACAATTATAATTCGTTGCCCGTCTCACAAAAGAACACATACTGCAAGATTGGGAAATGATGCAAGGACCTAGCAATTAGTGGCACACGCCCATGACTGTTCTAACTTATTGTCTGTCCTACCAGCTGTCTGACCATTTTTGTTTTCACAAACTCAAACAAACAACAGCTTTTACTTTCGTCTGCCCTGTCCTTGTTTGTCAAATCAGAAAATGACTACCTTAGTCATCACATACATGTCAGACCGAGTAAATTGAATTTTCTATTTCTTTTGGGGCTTTTTATAGATTGCCAGTGGTACAGAAAGGCATGTTCAAATTTGTTCCTAGAATGTCTCCTCGATGTTTAAGTAATGGCATGATACTTTAGTCCTAAGCCAGGGGGGTTCTGATTGATGTACAGTGCATTTGTTTTTTTCTGCAAGTGGTAATCAAGTGAGATACTGGTGAGAAAATTTTTCGTTATAGCATTTTCACAGTCATTAGGTTCAGCCTATTTCATTGTTTCAAGTTGAAGTCATTTGTCATTGCTGCAAATTATGACCATGTCATTCAATACCATGTCGTTCATTACATCAGATCATGAAAATGTTTTTACTTGTTGTAAAAAACCAAAAAGTTTATTATTATGATATAATATTAAATTAATAACCCTGTTATGCTATGTATGACAATTGTAAATGTTGATGTTTGTGTCAGTGGCATGCTGTAATTGTCGTGAAGTATTGTTCTAGGGGACGAAAATGTAATTGGCCTCCTTTTGTTATACTGTATTTCCACTGACTGGCCGGCCAAAGTTCCTCTTTTAGACTTTGAAAGTGACACAAGTTTTGTCTCGCAAGAAAATGCAATTCTTTTGTCTCAGAGTCTTGATTGAGCCTGTGTTGGTTCCAAATTGGAGTGGGAATCGTTTTTTTGTTTTGCCCTTTTACTGTAAAAGACATTCACGTTTGCTGTATTAGAATTTGCCCCTGTCTGTCACAGGTCTTGTTGTAGTGTATGTAAATAGTTCTATAAGTCTGCTCCTAACCTTCTTCCTCCTCCTCTCATTGTGGATATTACCATTTATCTTTGGAACTGGAGGCCATTGTTTTGCAATACAGTAAATACAGAGATTATGCAGTTCCCCAATTCCTTTCCCCACTCCTCTAATTCCTGTCAACTTTCCCTGTTTGTTCCTTCTGTCTTTAATATTTCGAATTGAATTTAAAGTGAGGGAACTATCTACAGAATTTCGCGGGCACAAATTATTCAATCTTACATTTTACTGGCGTCTGTGGTAGAGTGTTTAGGCGCTTTGCTGTTGCACGCAGAACGTTTTCAATTTCCATTTGGGGAGAATTTTTATCGAGTGTCTCAATCTGTCTTCTGGGATGTTGTATCCCTCTCAGTTTGGGTTGGCCCTGATAGACAGGGTGAAATCCTGCCTTCAATCTGATTTACATTGTGTCAGTGGATAATGTAAAAAAACACCTACGGACGACTGTTTTTATCACGTCAGTGATAGTGCTGGTGACCTCAATCCAGTTTGGATTTCTTTAGTGTCTTTTCAAACTTGAACGCTTTTGTCTTCCTTTTTTTAAAGTTTGTTTCAGCTGTTCTGTACTTCCACCTCATGATGAGCAGGACAATCTTGTGGATCGACCACAGATAATAAGAAACATTTAGTGACCATTGTATGTAGAAATAGCAATGTGCTGGCCTTTACTTCTTTCAGTCTCGTTACTCCTGTATGTAGTTCCTTAGCAGCTGTAGCTCATTCTCACATCTTGATCGCATTGTGAGTGCAATCTTTGAGCCTTATTTTATAGATTCTATCTACTTTGCCTCCATCCATGATCCCTCTTACTCTTTGTAGTTGTAGCTTTCAGAATGTTTCCGTTTCAAAGACTTTATTTTTAGATGTTTTTCTGAGGTATGGGAGTCATTGTGAAGCCAAGTTGCTGGTACAAAGTACAAGATGGCAGAAGAATTTACGTATTCTGTAGATCTGAAGTTCCTTTTCCCTTGCCCTTCTTGTGTTTTCTTTAAAATGTCTTTTGTACATAGACTGGTTTTAACTTGTGCCAGGAGGTCAAAAATACCTGAGGTGGTTTTATGTGGGTAAAAGTTCATTGATTGAATTGGGGTGGGTGGGAGGGCTAATGCCTTTGCTGAAAGTTCTGTGAGTTTTTGCATGTGATATATCTTATGGTGATATTGTCCTGTTTTCAGTAATGCTCTCAGGAGGCTCATTTGCAACGAATGATAGTCATGCAAAATATTGTAAAGTGAGGAGTAAAGTTAGTAGTTCCATTTCACTTAATTTTCAAAATTGATAGTTGAAACACTTGAGCATAATTCTCGAAGTTTATTTGTCAGGCTTTTACTTTCAGTGTTAAGAAATTTCAACACTATTTGACATCAGTACAAAATACCCATGAGGGAAACTTCCCAACTACTTTTAGAAGTTTATTTTAAAACAATTCTTTGCAATAGTGGTGTTATACGTTGATCAGTCGGATTAGGCACTGAAAACCCTTTATCTATTTAGGAAAAATATCTTGGGACCAGTTGCAGTGACTTTGTAGCTGGTAGGAACAGACACTGAAGCTATTATTGTTTTAAAAAAATTAAGTTGCATAGCCTGAGCTGGCAGGAGTGATGATGATCCTTTTGTCTATGTGATAATGCTAGTCAATGAGCTCCTCCAATATTTATATCTCCTCTTCCGTAACCCCCTTCAAGCTCTGTTGCTAATAATATAATATGCCTTTCCTTCTTTCCTCTTCTTATGCTCATTTCATGTTATGTTATTCTTTACTTTCAATTTTCCCATCCCTTGATTGGATGGGGTGGAAAAATTGTATCCGCATACATGTAAACCATTCCTTATCTTTCAAATTTTTTATAAACCTGGCTCAGGTAATGTGTTTGCGTGCTTCTTCGAATGTGTGTGCTTGTGTGTATGCTAATGTTGACATGGTTCTTCTTGCATGTGTGTGACACATCTTCCTCTGGTTTACTTCTTACTGCATGATGGAATTTACATTTTTGAAACATTTTATTGAGGGAAATGGAAATGAGGGGCAATACTTCATTTTAAAAGAATGGCTTTTGTTTTTAACATGGAAATATATTTTTGGACTGTTATGGATCGATTAATTTTTCAGCCAGTCTACAAAAATTGTTAATCCGTTGAAAAGTAATTTGTCGGCAGATTTTTCTACTTTTTTTTTTAAGCTTAAAAGAAAATGAGTTTTTGGTTTTAATCATTTAAGACTTCTGAGATTGAAAGATTCAGTGGCAATTTCATTTGTAATGCATCTGAAGCTTTTGTAGCTATTTTGTCCTTGGTTTTTCTGGCTGCTGTGTAAAATCTCCTTACAGTTTTAAACAACTGTTTAAAGCTTGCTTTTTTTCTGTTATCTATTATGGACTTATTTCTACTTTTAATTTTGTAAATAAGATTTTTATGTCTACACACTACACAATGAAATGTTGTTCATGTTATCGATGCCTTTACCATGTTCTTCTAAATGATTGCAATGCACCACACTGTGGTGGTACTCCATTGTACAGGACTCCACAACTAATGACGTGGGATTTTTTTTCCTTGCTTCCTTGTACTGAGTGACAAAGACAACTATGGAGAGCCCTGCTCAAATAAAGGAAAAATGGTTTTATGTGGGGAAATTTTTTAAATTTTATCTTAAGGAGATGATTTCACGAAGTTGGAATATAATGAATTTTAAGATTTTGTTAGTGGAGGGGGACATGAAAGGTTAAAAGAGCAGGGTGAGGGAGGGTGATGCTGGGAGGATATTGTGAGCATGATTACTACAATGTACTGTTATTTAGGCAGTGCTGGCTCGTCATTGTGGAGTTCTGACTCAGTGCTACATGACTTTTTGACCTTGCTGTTTTGGTTGAGGGCTAGACTGGCGGACCTACCCAGGAGGGGGGTCCGACCTAAAATAATCCATCGTTCGGCACTGCCGTGTCTTTGTACATAGCTGACGTGTATCAGTAAAGTAAAAAGAAAAATTCAGCAAATAAAAATATATCAAACTTCTGAAGCAGAGTTTTTAAATTCTTTTTTCTGTTTTTGTGGTCTTTAGTTTTTTTCTTTTTTTATGCAGTGGATGTGCTGTTATTAGCTCAGATGGACTATGGCAAAGATAGCTACAGTTCAAACCTCTTATGCTGTTTTCTTGAACTTATGTCATTTTCAAAACTGTCCACTCTCTTAATATGTTGCTGTCGGAGGAGATGGATGTAAAGTTTGGAGGTCCTAAATAAAGTGGTACCTAAAATAAAATCAATCAAAATACCATACTCTAAAAATGTTCTGAAGCCCGGTAACTTATTGTGGATAATATATCAGAATACCGTGCAGAGTTTTTGGACTGTTCATCGAGAACGAGAGACAACTGCATGAGGAGTTAATCCGGGCAAAGTCTTCATTACGTAAACGTAGCTTACATTTGGCTGGGTTTTTTAAAATAAAATAGTTATCATCATTGAAAACAAATTCTAGCACATGTGTATGAATTGAAATACTGTGGCTCCCTAATAGACAGCATTTGCGAATCATTTTCTGGGGGGGGGGGGGTTGTGTTTAGGTAAAAATTTTACAGCTCTTGTGACACGATTTAGTCATATTAAGTACTGAAGATTGGAAGAGAATAGGTGAACCCCGGGGTCTACCATGCAAAATACTAGGTTTTAGGACAGGTGGACCCAGGGATCTACCTGGCAAAAAACTATGTTTTAGGATAAGGGGTCACGGTAGTAAAATAAGTAGGTTTAATTAAGGATTGGTGGACTCCAGGGTCAACCTAGAAAAATAGGCACCAATCCTGAAACCTATTTCACTGCGTTAATGACCCGGGATCCACTGATCCTTAATTGTACCTACTTATTTCACTATGGTGACTCCTGGGTCCACCAATCCTTAATTAAACCTATTTATTTCACTACTGTGACCCCGGGGTCCACCTATCCTAAAACCTAGCATTCTCGCTCGCTAGGTAGACCACCGGGTCCACCTTAATCCTACTTATTTCCCAACGTTGACATCGAGATCCACCAATCCTTAATTAAACCTTATTTCACTACGTTGACCCGGGGGTCCACCAATCCTTAATTAAACCTATAATCACTTAGGGAGTGCTTATTTAGGCCACATATGGCCTTAATAAGGTAAGGGAGGGGAGTTTAGCTTATTTAGGCCACACATGCTCAAACTACCCTTTTCAGGCAACTGAGTTCGTTCCACTTTCATAATGGTGCATCTTTCTCATTAAGTACAGTTTTGTCTCAGTGTACAACTTATAAATCATAATCATAATGAATATTGTAAGAACAAAGCACAATGCGCACAATTTTTCTCAATCCCAATGGTTTGAATGAGGGCCTTATTTTTCCTTCATGGAGGGGCAAAAGCTAGGCTACCATTTTGGCACACTTTGGTCAAATGAAAAGGTCAAATCCTCCGAATGGACTTCCGGGTCAAATTTGGGGTATAAAAAGTGTGTACACAGCGTGGCTGAGTCAAAGTTACACTACATTTGCCTGAGTGGCACTCTCTCGTACTGTCTCGTAGTAGTACATGTAGTAGTAGTAGCAACGATTGTGTAGAGAATCTGTGGTAGTAGATTCTATCTTGTACAAGTAGGCAGTTTAGTGAACTTGCTCGCGGCAGGGCGAATCGGCCTCGTTAAGCCCCGTAGACTTTTGTGATCGGCCACGAAGCCTCGTGTTTTGATGGGTCTAAACAACTCAATGTTAATCGCACTGCCACATCCGACGGGCCTACATCTTTTTCAAAGGAAAAGAAAGATCATCAAAATGGTTGAATTCGCGTGAAAATCAATTCGGTAGAACTGGAACTATTAAAATTTGCTTCTGAAAACAAGGCAATTTTCATAACTCGATGAAATAAAAACTACTGGCTATGTTATTCTGTATAAATTATGAAACTTCAGGACGTATTATTATTTCCCAACATCTTTTGACGCCTGAGCTGTAGATGTTGAAGTTTTCACAACACTAATAGATCTAGAAATCTAGTAATAGGGCTTTCCGTAAAAAAAATGCATAGATCTGCAAAAGCCGAACCACCGAATCGACTGGTCAGCGACCCGGGCACCCCGCTCTCCCCTGCACAGTGTGATAACGTGTAGCTTCCCGCATTATTCAACTATTAATACGTGTGGCTATGGCAATTGAGATGAGCTGACTGACAAAACAATTCACAGTTTTTATTTTATTTTACCATTTATTTGGCTTTAATAGTGCAGGTGATAGCTAGATCTGGATTCCTTGTCTAGAATCAGTAGTAGCAGGCCTATGCTAGAAGCAGCCAGAGAGCCTTCAACTGCTAGATCTAGATCTAACTATTGCTATGTCTTTGGGCTTTGGAATTGAAATAAAACGAATTGCACAGTTCAAGTTTAATTTTAGATTCAGCAACTAACTGTATTTCCAGAGTTAATAATAACAAATCTCACCATAACAATCATTTTTACTTTTATTAGATATAATTAGATCCAACTTTTTAAAATAAAATCTGTTCCGCGCAAACTTAAGATTTTCTCTACTTGTAGAGCACAGGATTTACATTGTAAGCCTCTGCTCAGTCTTTTAGTGTACATAATAAAATACATTTATATAGATCTATATAATCATTTTATGTTATTTTCTGGATATTTTTAAAGCTCTTTTTTTTTTAACGTGTCATAAAATCAAATTGAGCCATTTTCTTTGAAAAGAATAGCATTAGCAGTGGACTTTTTAGACAGCGAGTCTCTGATTCAATTTTTTTTTAAAAATATGCTAATCAATGAAAATTGCAAATTGATAATAGTATAGTCCTGTAGAGGATAGGTGGACTCCGGGGTCTGCTTAGCGAAATACTAGGTTTTAGGATGTGAACCCCGAAGTCACCCTAGTGAAAAAAGGTTTGGTTTAAGTTTAAGTAAGGATTGGTGGACCCCGGGGTCAACGTAGTGATAAATAAGCAGGTTTAAGGTGGACCCCGGGGCCCGGGGTCTACCTTGCGAAATACAGTGTACTAGGTTTTAGGACAGGTGGACCCCGGGGTCACTGTAGTGAAATAAGTAGGTTTCTTTTAAGATTGGTGGACCCCAGGGTCACCGTAGTGAAATAAGTAGGTTTAATTTTATAAGGATTGGTGGACCCCGGAGTCACCATAGCCGTAGAGGAATAAGAAGGTGTAATTAAGGATTGGTGGACCCCCGGAACACCTTGATTAAACCTACTTATTTTACTACGGTGACCGCAGGGTCCACTTATTCTAAAACCTAACTAGTATTTCGTTAGGTAGACCCTGAGGTCCACCTTAAACCTACCTATTTCACTGTGTTGACTCCAGGGTCCACCAGTCCTTAAAATAAAACCTAGATCTACATGTATTTATTTCACTACATTGACCCTAGGGTCCACCGATCCTTAGTTAAACCTAGATCTACTTATTTCACTACGCTGACTCCGGGGTTCACATCCTAAAACCTAGCATTTTAAATTTGTTAGGTAGACCCCGGGGTCCACCTATCCTTTTGGCTAGAAAGACCCCGTGGTCCGCCTATCCACTTCCTTGATAATAACTGAAAACAATACATGTACATGCCAGTTGTCATGAATAGTGAAGAAAAATGTGGAAAAAAAAGATAACGAGGTTGTCCAAAAAAATTGCAATGGCAAGTGAAGATCATAAGATAATTTTTTTTTTTTCTGGTCATCTTTTCACGGTTTATAAAATGTTCCAGTGGGCCTACTACTAGATCTATGTCTCTGAGGAACATTGTGCTTGACTTTATTACCTTTTTTCATGTACTTGAAAGCATAGAATATAATAGTTTCACACAAATGTAGGCACGATACTTTGAAAAAGAAAGATACGGTCATTGTTGTGTTATTTTTTTAACGGAATCCGTTTTACTTTGAGAAAAGCGCTAAAATCAAGTTAAAAATTTTTAAGAATGCCCATAATAATATAGTTTTTTCAGATCAGATGTACACATAGGAAATAGAAATGCCCCATGGCAAGTTTAAAAGCCACATAGAAAATTTCACGCCACATAGAAAGTTCAAATGTTCAATAGGAAATTTTAGTGTTAGTGCACGATTGTGCGTAACAAATTCAAATGTACAAATAGCAAATCCAAATGTAACACTAGACTCTTTGACAATAGCAAGATCAAATGCCACATAGCAAAAGCAAATATCCTCCTTAAAGATTATTCAGCGTGAAAAGCATTTTGATGTGCTCAAATTGAGTTGACGACAACCATAAGCAGTTTAATTTTAAGACGAATTGATCACCATTGAAAAGATCCCCAGGATGCTCCCGTGGAAAGAAAATCAGATAGGACTGAAGCAACTAGACATCAATATGCAGCATGGCAGATGCAGAACATTTAGCGGTACATGTATGAATTTGCCTTCGTCGATGAGGCTGGTTTCAAGCTGTTAATGAAGCAGAAGAGAAACTGATGAAGAGCACGGAGTGGTCAATGCTTTGTTCGAGTAATGCAGGGTTGAAGGGGACCGAACCGCACGATGCCAGGGCCTAATTTGCTGTCAGTGACGAGGGTGGCTTGGTCTTTTCACGACTTTCAAGTAGAGGGAATGGCAGCTTTCGTTTCAACCCACCCCTCTGAGAAACTGGTCCAACAATCCTCACAACGAAGTATGGTTTGTATGTAACAATTATCAACACTATCATCATGACTATGTGTATAAATTTTAACCCTATCCGTACGTCATGTTGTACTATCGTATCCATATGACGTAGGGAACTCTGTGCTATGGTTGTAGTTTTTTTTGTAAGCACTTGTAACACATTAAGGTCATTTGCAAATTAGAGGTGTTACAAAATAGTAACAAACATAAAAAAGGAGGACATATATATAAGGAAGAAAGATGTTTGATAGTAAAGAAGTAAACCACACCAGAGCACCTGCCAACAACCCACGGTTCCCCAATTTTGTAATAGTAACACATCTGCCCCAACAGAAAAGTCAGGACGAGGCGGAGGCCTGGTGATGAAAGCTGACAGGAAGTCATCAAGCGGACAAAGAAGAGAGGAAGGCCTAGATCCACATGAGAACAAGAACTGGAGGCATATCAAAGACAGATTAAGGCGCACTGCCGCCTGGAAGTAAAGAAGATTTTCCAGGAGAAAGAGAGAGAGAGAGAGAGAGAGAGAGAGAGAGAGAGAGAGAGAGAGAGAGAAAAAGAGAATGAGAGAGTGAGTGAGAAAAAGAGGTGTGGGGGAGACACATAAACAAACACTTTGAAATCTTAAGGAGCAACAAACAGAATAACTTCATAAAAATGTTTATTAACACTTGGTACTTCCAGGATGCTAGGTACAACAATGTTCCATAATAAACAACAAACCAGAAATCAGACAACAGGGTAGCCATGACAGACACAATCGCTTCAGATTTTCATTTCCACTGTTTTCAAAAGTCGACTAACATCAGCGGCTTCTGGAATTTTGATGATAAAAACTTTAAAAAGAGATGACAATGAAGTAACTGGCAGCACATAAAATACAAAGGATGGCAAACATATCACTCAAACTCACTCACTCTCCATTTATACCTTCACACATCAAAGATTTTTCTCACATTTTTTCCCTCAACAGTTCATTCAAACATTTTTTTTTTAAAAGAAAAAAAAAAAGTAGACCAAGACTCATACAGAAATCATACAATGGGGATCTTGGATGAAGAGGTCAATGATCCGATGTCAAAGCGAGATGACGTCCAATGAGCTGCTACTGTACTTGTTGAATTAAGGTGATGTTGTCTCCTTTCAATAAAATGCGACCTGCAGGTAAAAGATGTTACAGTTTGTCAAATATATTGTTGAGTTTGAGTAAGAAAAAAACACAAAAAAAGTTTTTCAACACTTGCAACACAAATTATAGTTAATAAGTCCTGACGATTAGAGGTGCTACCAGAGAGTAGTAACTTAACAAAAAAAAAAGAAGGAGGAGAGATAGACTACAGATGTTTGATAAAAAAAAAAAGAAAAAAAGGAGCCAACCACACCAGAGCACCTGCCAGACACCCAAAAAGATACTGATAAGAGGCTGTAGGGAAAGAGAAATAACAGCATTTTACAAAACAGTTTCACTGATGCCATCTATCAGGCTATTGTTATGCTATAAGCACTGACCAACAATACATTGGTAACTTACTATTACAACAACTGCTTTAGGGCTTATTTTACATCAGAACTAAAAGTAGAAACTGAATTGCTGATCTTTAAGTGGTATCACTCATCAGCTCTCCTAAGCTTCCCGGCTAGGGGTCAGCTGGTGCTGAGATGGGTTCACCGCTGGCAGTATATCAAGTTTGTATTTTTGCCAACATTTGAAACAATCTAATTTTCTGCCCATGCCATGAAGCTGGCCACAAAAAAAATATATATAGAAAAACACAGTCATGGTGAAACGCTGTAACGATCACACTACATGCATGCGGGCTGTCAACAAACGACTAGAAGTTTTGTTTTGATTTAATTTAACGACCAATTTCGTGTCATTTTTGTCATTTAGATTTTGTAATATAAGGGCCCCGGCAAAGTGGTTTATCCTCCTCAGAGATAAAGAATTAAATTACTTATTGGTAAAAAAAAAAAAAGAAGGGGGGTGGGGTGGTGGTGGTGTTAGACAGCAGGAGTAGAGGGGGGGAGTCATATACAACACTATAGCTAGCAGGACATGAAGTAGGGGAGCAAGAGTTTAAATGAAATAACAGGATTTGGTCTATTCTCATACATCCTACAGGACTCTTGCACTGTATCTCCACTCTCAGTGTTAAGCATGATGCATGACCTACAAATCAAGGAAGTCTAGCCTGGTCTGGTAACACGAGTGGCAAATGGGATCCACACACATGTAGTGCTGGAGATACCGGATCAGCAGACAGGTGGACAATACCAGATATAAAGTCAGTCTTGCTCAGATAAAATTATATTTACCTGTCTAACTTCACCTGAAAAATTAGCATGTGACGTGACATATAGGAGGGAGGAAACGGAGATGCAGCATAATACCCCCCCCCCCTCAAAGACATTGACATAAAACTTTTTTTATTTCAATGTATGTGTTTAGATTTTTTTTATACCTACCAAGTCGTTTTCTGTTTTGTGTCTTCATGTGTACCTCCTCAGCATCATCCAAGACCAGGTTCATGTACTCGTCAAAGCCCTGAGAACAAAGAAAACAGGACATATCATACCTTTGATGCGATTTGTTTCTGCTGCACAGCCTACTAAACAGTTACGTCATCCATGAAGCCAAAGTACAGTGGAAGTTGCCTGAGACAGCCACCCATTGTCAAGGAGAAAAGGGGCTGTTTGAGATAGCGAATGTCTTACATAGTGTCATTATAATGGGGGGATGAGGAAAAAAAGCGACTCCCCATCCCAGCCCCCCAAAACAAAACACCCCCCCCCTCCCCCCCAGTGAGGAAAATAGGAAGTGGCCCTTTGAACAGGTAATTATTTTGTCTTATACTGGTGTCCATAAGAGCAAGTTTGACTGCATTTGGTCTTCCAATGGGACATGAGCTCAGAGCAAATATACATTTTAAAAAATTAAGGATAAAAATAACACGATTTTAGTCCTCATTTCAATGTGAAGCATGAACTAGCATCACGTCATAGGCCAGCCTTGATTATCTAGGCCTACCATGCCTCTCCCTTCTCTGATGTGGGGAAGGAGAGGTCACAGTGCTGAGATGGACGGAGCGAACGTGTGACATGCACAAACAGACGGAACGCACCACAGGGTGTGGTGGGGTGGGGGACAACACAGCGGGCGAGTTAGCCTAGAGCCATTTCTTTCTGATCGCCAATACCAAGCTGTCAACATCGCTAGCGCTAGAGAAAGAAACATGATTCGATATTTGATCAAGTAAGACCTCGAGGTCATGTTGAACAAAATCATCATCAGGGGAGATAACAAAAAGAAATAAATAGAACACCTAACTCATTTAGGCCTACTCAGACCTGCCATTCTATGAAACCTCAAAATCAGGATCTCAGGGAGAAAAAATCGGGATCAACAGCGAATCACTAGGGTGACTGCCAAAGCTGACTTACAATTTTTCTAGGGGTGTCCACAAATTACTAGGACTATATGACCTCTGTGTGTCTTTGTGCGTGAGTGTGTGTGTGTGTGTGTGTGTGTGCGTGCGTGCGAGTTATCATTATTTTTTGTAAATTCTTAAGCATCGCGTCAAGCACTCCTTGCCCGAGTGCCTCTACTCCCCCCACCCCTTCAAATAAGTCCCGAAATACATGAACTTAAGTTGACCCCGTCTACGGACGGTCCCCGACATGCAGAACTCACACGGCGATGTCATGTCACGTGACGCAAATGCGCGATTGAGACAATGTTACTGACGGGTCCGACTAACTGCACGTTCACACAAAACATTCAGACGAACGACAGTCGTTCTACTTCTAGGATAACGACGGCGGCCGATCGACCAAATGTACCAACAAATCTCTTACCCCTCATAATGCGTTCAGACTAAAGCAACAACAACGGCCGTATGTTAGTCTTGTCAGCGTTGTTATATGTAGTTGTGTAAGGGTTAGAAAGACTGTCGCTCGTCCGAGTGTTTGATGTGAACGCGCAGTTACCAGACCTCGGACAAGGCTTGTTTTGAAAGTAACAGCAGAACTATGAATATTATCAATTATTTGTATGTCCCAAATTGTAACAGTTACCAGGTTATCATTGGAGAATTCTGAGTGCGGGAAAAGATCACATACAGCTTGGGGCGAGTCAACTACTAAATGCGGCATCGACATTTCGGGAAATAGTGCTCAGAGTTCCTACTGACAAAAAGTTCAACGGATGCTTCCCGCGATAAAGGAGAAGACAAGAGTACGTTTTTATAAAAATCTGGCACAACAGCAGACTGGAAAAAAAAAATCGGGATACACGTGATCGAAATCAGGAAAATCGGGATGCTTGAGATTTGGGGAAAAAAATCGGGATATCCCGACTAAATCGGGATGAGTGGCAGGTCTGCCTACTTTATTATTTCCTTTGAATACAGGATCCCTTATAACGAGAATCATGCTATAACGGACATTTCGTACCAGTCCCCTCCCTCTCGTTATAACAGGATTCCACTGTAATGAACACACCATATGAGAAAAACTAAACCAACCTGTCAATTATATATAGTTTCTTTGACAATAAAACTGGTTTGATTACAGTCAAGTAAAGACCACTAAACAATAATTTTGTAAGGTAATAGTGCTTGTTTTGAATAAATTTAATTATATCTAACAATAAGTGCTTTCAAAAAACAGATTCAAAAGAGAAAAATCAGCTCTCTGTAGTACTTACAACAATGCATCCCTCAATTCTGAGGTTGATCTGTTCATAGAGCCACACCTGAATCCTTGAGCGCTGTGAATTGACACAAAAGTAGTAAAGATAAAAATCTGACAAGTTCAAGTTGAAGCACTCACAAGTTTTATTAAATTTTATAACTTTTGTGGTCTTTTACCAAACAGTGTAATGGTTACATGGATCCCACAAAAGGTCTTGCATATTTGGCCTACTTGTGAAATTTTTAAATTTATCATAAACATGCATTTCCCTATTCTAGCATCTGCGTTTGTTGCGGCCGCGATTTTTGGCAAATTTTGATCAGCGAAACGCGGCCGTGATTTTTGCCTTTTCCCCAAAATTTTTTTAAAAGGAAAAAAAAAAAAAACACCGCTCGGGAATAAAAAATCGAAAAACAAACCCCAGGGAATAAAAATCGAGAAACAGAAAATGAAAACACACAAATTTAAAAAAAAAAAAAAAATAAACCGAACCAAATTAACTTTACTTAGAAAGAAAAACTAAAAAGTTCACTTTCACTTCACCTCATCTCTGTCTCACTTGTTGACACCACGTTGATTTGTTATTTTCAATTAAATTTCATGTGAAGAATGAGTACATTACATAATATATAAATGTATTGCTGTTTCCCTTTAATTTGTCCCTGTTTATTGGGTTTCAATCTTCCTTGTTATTGATCTAATGTATTCTTTTTTCTGTTTTTGATGTTTATAGCGTATGTCATTTAATTTGATGTTGTTCCCACCTTTTTTAAAAATACAAATGTGTTAAATGCTAGAGCATGTCTCTACCAAAACTGAATACTCACACTGGCAGGCCCCTTGTGTGTGATTCTATAATTTACACGTAAGTAATATCCAGTACTTTTTCTTAAAATTCACACGTTTAGGGTTAAAACGGCCAATCTTCGGATAGGTTAACACACATCTTTATTTCTTAATTTTTGTGGTTGTTTATGTGCTGTTCTAATTTTGATTTCATTCTGTTATGAAACCTTTATTTTTCACGTTGTACGTCCTGTTTGGCTACAAATGAATATTCTGGTTGCTTAAAACAGAACACAAGAAATTCTGGTGCTTTATATTAAGCTACCTCTATCAACATATGATGCTATATAATACGTCGTCACAGAGAGTTGAAAGCTTGAAAATTAATGGCAACTTTTTTGGCAACTTCTGCCATTTTTGTGGCAACTTTTGTCAACTTTTAGACAAAAAAATGGCAACAAACGCAGATGCTAGACTATTGGTCTATTATTGTTACAGAAATTAGAAGTCTCTTTCTAGCCCTCAGACTTATTCAAGACATTAAATTTAAATTAATCGAGTGGCTCTCAAAGCCCATAATTTAGAGCATCTTCCGTGCATTATTGGTACATTTGTCTTAGGTTGATAGTGATCTTTACTGTTACAAAAAAAAAGGCAACCATGATAGTGGACGGACGAAAGAGATTTTTGGGCAAAAAGCAGTAATTTTAATCACTTTAATAGTATTCTTAAAAAACAGTTTGTTCTCCAACTATTTTGGTACCCATTCACCAGAATCTCAAGTCTAAATCTTAATCCGCAGAAACATCAAGCCAGGGAAATTTGATGAAATCTTTTTTTTTTTACAATTCAAGCTTCCCGAAACCATTAAAAACATTGTCTGAATTTTAAAGGAAAGAACTTTAAGTCATGTTCCAGAGGCAACATAGTTTTCTTGGTATCAACAATAAAATGGACTGTTAGTGCTTTTTCATGATGGAGTGGGGAAAAGGGACTCTGGCCTTATTTTCAAAATTGATTAAAATGTCAACCGCCAAAAGCAACATTAAAAAAATATCAATCCAGCTTTAAAAAATCACATTACATCAATTCAAAGGTACTTAAGAAGACTTAAATTATACATACATTTAAAACATTTTAATTTTTTATTCATGGAATATCATTTATCAGAGCTGGAAGACCAAAGTACAACACATAAAAAAAAATTACAGGCACACTTACATTTTGGAGGTATCTGAAAATAAGATTCTGAGAGATGTGTTAAGGAAACATTTGCTGCCAGGCAATAGCAATGAAACAAAGTTTGAGACTGAAAATTATTTTACTTGACTGGTAAGGAACAGTACTATAAATTTTATATTATTATAACTCTTCAAAACACAACAAGAAGCTAAATTTGAAACATGGGGCAATAACATATTTGTACCTTACTGCAGAAGAGTAAGACTACTCAAAGTCTGATAATAGTGACAATGAAAATAGACATCGTGACCATGTGCTGAACGATGAAGAAAGGAGGTCATCCCATTTGTTCATTGGCAGCTCTCGGTCTAAATTGCTGATACTGAAATTTAGCTTCACACAAAGAAAAGCACGAGAATTTTACACACACATCACTAATAAAGTACGAAATAAACAAAAGACACCAAAACCCTGAATCTTTTTAGGGTTGTATTTTGCCGTGATAGTCGAAGCAGACTTTGCGCTGTTGAAGCTAGAGAGGTGAGCAGAGTAAGTCTGATTCCCTGAAAGGACTTCTCTGTTGACATCCATCCCTTGGCGCTCACACGACCTTATGCTGGGCTCCCCTTTAGGCACAAATGCGCGTATATTACGCATTAAACCTGCAGATTACCCCCTTTAAGTTTTGGTTGTGCGTGAGCTTTACTCTTTATAATTTCATTTCGGGGGTTTGCATGCGCTTTAAAACGTAGGTGGTGTGCGTCTGGCAAGCATCATTTTCCTCCTTCTCTATCCCAAAGCCGAGTCAATGATTTGACAACACACCCACACACATGCACGACAGTCACAATCTCTGTCAGAAAAAGTTGACTAGTCGACCTACTTATCAGCTGCGCGCTGTTTCCAGCAACACAGGCTTGCTTCAGCACAGAAGCTCCGCCCACATTCAGGTCGCTCACATTTGCCGGTGTCGTGCCTTGAGATTACCCCTATCCTTCTTTAACACACACTAGTAAACATGAATTGTCCATCATCGAAAGTGTGGAAAGACTGGAATGTGAACCCTGGGATGGCTCTGAAGAATAATGAATCAGTTTATTTTCCAAACCTGCCACTCATCCCTGCCCTAAATCTCAAGCACCCCGATTTTCCCGTTATGCAGTTGCGAGCGCCGTAAAACTACTAAAACAAAAGACTTGCTGGACCCTTTGCACACATCTGATCATCATACTGATAATTAAATCTCTCTCTCTCACACACACACACTACCCGAAGACAAAATTGCATGCTTTCAACTAGAGAGCGCTGGAACATTTGTTTACACACTCGTATATCAAGGGCTGTCACGCGCTAACACAAGGCCCCACCCAAGTCTCGCCCAGACGGGACAAACATTCTTTTAAGTAGTACCTGTTAATGTTTTCAATAAAAAAACAATATGATATTTATGGCATTATCATCTATTATAATTGCGTACATGTGGATGGTTGTTTTCTATAGCTGAAAAAACTACGCAATGTAGAACCATGAAAAAATTACTGAAGGTAGTTCAAAGACCAAGATAAGTTTCTATCAGTATCAGTTCAGTAAGTGCTTGCATTCGCCTAAAAAATTTTGAAAAATAGAAAACACTATCAGCCGTTTACGATTTTCCTGTTCGTCATTTCAATGCAGTGTTGTTCAAGATTTATTTCGTTTTCCATGATATAAAAATTGCTCTTCCGCCGAAAATAAACAAATCTTCTATACACAACTCTGTAAACAAGTGAGGCTTCCGGTCACTTGCAGTGCGCACTGTAACCACAATGACTTGACGATCGATTTTTTTTAGTCCGTTCATCGAACGAGGTACCCAGCTAGTAATATTATTTATTATAATAATTCAGAACTCTTTCAGTTTCAGAGAAGGCTTGTGAATCATGAAGAGAACATATGTAAAATACTCACTAGATCTAGAATCTAGTGGATTCTGTAACTTAGTTTAGACAAGCGGATGATTAGAGAATGTCAGATGTACGTCATTGGCCGATATTTATAGTAACTTAGTCTAACAGCCATCTTGTTTGACATCACTGAGGGATCGGAGTGTCTACGTACACAGTAACCGGGCATGTAGTCTCAGTATCTACCTACACGGTAACCGGGCACCTAGTCTCAGTATCTACGACAGTCTACGTACACGGTAACCGGAATGAAAATAAATCAATACTAATATTTGTCCTGTACTGTCACTTGCTGCAAAAAAAAGATAGTCATATAAAAGTGTCTTGTCGGGTTCGCCATTGTGACCGGTCAGTGAACCTGTGTGTTCGCGTCACACGAGTACCGGTTGGGGTCACCAAAGTTTATTCAAAGTCTCTGCGCTGCGAAGAAGATCTATAGGGCTCTGGAATGGGGGGGATTATTATCAATTTTTTAAAACGAAGTGACTATTTCTCCGAACGTTCGGAGAAATAGTGCCTCTATCTTTATTTCTCCGAACGGTTTCCGGCTTCTGGTCTCGTGATGTTTTGCCTATTTATTGCGAGAGTTCGGCGCCAACTTTCATTCTGCCTCTGCCTTTCTGCGAGGTCTGGAAAGGAGCAAATTTTTGGGTCTAGAGATTTTTACATGAGTGTAAAAACATGAAAAAGAAAAGTTTCACAACAGAATGAAATCAAAATGAGAACAGCCCACAAACAACCATAAAAATTAACAAATAAGGGCGTGTGTCCACCTGTCCGAAGAAAATTGGCTGTTTGGCCTTGCATGTGTGCTAAATTCAAAGAAAGTACAAGCAAATTATGGAATCACACACAAGGGGCCTGCCAGTGTCAGTACATGTAATCGGTTTTGGTGGAACGCTCTAACATTTATACACTTAAATCTATATTATATATAGACCTGTTTAGACCTATCAAAACACGAGGCTTCGTGGCCGATCACAAAGGTCTACGGGGCTTATCGAGGCCGATTCGCCCTGCCGCGTGCACGTTCACTAAACTGCCTACTAGATAGATCTACTACCAAAGATTCTTCTCGATCTTTGCTACTACTACTACTACTACATCTACACATGTAGGCTACTACTACTAGACAGTACGAGAGATGTACTACTACGAGACAGTACGAGAGAGTGCCACCCAGGCAAAGATAGTGTAACTTTGACTCAGCCACGTTGTGTACACACTTTTTATACCCCAAATTTGACCCGGAAGTCCATTCGGAGGATTTGACCTTTTTACTTGACCAAAGTGTGCCAAAATGGTAGCCTAGATTTTGCCCCTCCATGAAGGAAAAATCTGGCCCTCATTCAAACCATTGAGATTGAGCAAAACTTAGCGTATCGTGCTTTGTTCTTACAATATTCATTATGATATATATAAGTTGTACACTGAGACAAAACTGTACTAAATGAGAAAGGTGCACCATTATGAAAGTGGAACGAACTCAGTTGCCTTAAAAGGGTGTCCCCTGGTAGTTTGAGCATGTGTGGCCTAAATAAGCTAAACCCCCCTCCCTTACCTTATTTAGGCCACCTGTGGCCTAAATAAGCTAAACCCCCCCCCCCTTACCTTATTTAGGCCATATGTGGCCCAAATAAGCACTCCCTACTCTTTAATATGAACTTCTCAATTAACGTAGTATACAGCATCAGAATCAACCTGGGTGGAAGAAGGGTGCAGTACAATCATAGACAACTGAACCGCACAGTTAGTTGCAAAGACAATAGGCTAGAACGAGATCTAGAATCTAGATCTAATCCAAGTCGGCAGGCTGCCAGCTGCCGTCGTGCAGATTTGTGTTGCCACCATGACTGACAACAAAGTGGGAATCCCTCAATGACGTCAAACAAAAGGAAGTGGCTATTCTCACCCGGGGTGAGAATAAAAATACGATATACCTCTCACCCCGGGTGAGACTTGCCAGCGTAGGCTATTCTCATCTGGTGTGAAACAAGACCTGCTTTTCCTCGTTTTGGAATACACTGTCTATCGGTGTGGATGATCAAATTGATAAAAGCCAAGAAAAAATTACGTTATAGCACAAAAGTAAGCTAATTTGATGTCTTCAAATATGCTATGATATGGCTATTTCACTTTTCGAATCGAGCGGAACTACGCGGGTCGCCATTTTGTTTTGTCCGGAAGTTCTCGCAAGATCTACTCCTCCCCTCTCTCTCTCACTCTCTGTCTCATTCTGAATACTGTCTATAGGTGTGGACGATCAAATTGACCAAAACAAAGTTTAAAAATGATGTTAAAAAACAAAACTAAATTAATTTGGTTGTCTACAAAGATGCTACGGCTTTCTGAATCTAGCCGAACTACGCGGGTTGCCATTTTGTTTTGCCCGGAAGTTCTCGCGCTACTCCTCTCTCTCTCTCTCCACTTCCCACAGACAAAATTGCACGCTTTTAGGGTAACACTAGACTAACAGTAGTAATAGATCCAGAACGTTTGTTCACAGCACAGAATTCTATAATTGAAGTGACTATTCGGACTCGAGTCCGAATATGAAAAAATGTTATTCGGACTCTTGATTCTTGTCCAGCATGACATCTCTTCCGACTTCCTGTGACTCGTGACTCCGGCTTCCTGTCCTGCCTCACTCGTGACTCGCCTCAGGCTGAGTAGAGACCAGGATCACTTCGGGCAAAATGGTGTTAAATTGTGCCGGAGCCGAGTTTTTATCTTATGATGAATTTGAGGCTGGCCTGAAAAGTTAGAGCGCTTATTATAAATGTTTATTTGTCAAGAGGTCATCAGAAGCAATTAAAGATGGCTCGTTAGCGTATGTCGGGGTCAGATGGGCGGCCTGCACACGTGTGGCTGTGTGTGCATGTCGGGGAAGGGGCGTTATCGGTCTGGGCGTTGAACGTCGCATACGCGTCAGCCCCCCCCCCCACCCCCACGCAACTGATCATTATTACAATAAGCTAGTCTTGACCTAGATCTACGTAATGAATTGTGCGCTGGTCTATGGAATCAAAAGTTGCCGTGTGCTCGGCTCTACACAGCAACACAACTTTTTCTTGGTAAACAATCGAGATGACACAGGCTTCTGTATTTGAGAGCTTTTGCCAA